CCTTCATGTTAACATTTCAGGAGGCCTTGAAGCAAACTAACTTTATCAACCTGGTCACGATGTACTGTTAAGACACCTGGACATAACAACACTGTTGCAACAGCAAGATGCAGTTTTAACTAAAATAACTACACATTCTTTTTGGCTTCTGTAATTTACTTTACATTTAACCCCCACCTTATAAAAACCCTACCCACTGAGACCTCGGGACCATTTTCTCCTTAGTCGGAGGGGCAGTCACTGAGCTCAGCTTAATAAAATCTTCAGAACTTTAAACTTTAATTTGACATCCAGCCTCTTTATTGATTATCTGGACCCGAGAGGATCCTAAAAGCAGCAAGAGAAAGGCAACTAATAACTTGTAAGAGAGCTCCCATAAGATTGTCAGCTGATTTCTCAATAGAAACTTTGCAGGCCAGAAGGGATTGGCACAAAATATTCAACATGATGAAAAGCAAGGACCTACAACCCAGATTACTCTACCCAGCCAAGAAAAGAAGGACAGATAAAGAGCTTCCCAGACAAGAAAATGCTGAAGGAGTTCATCATCACCAAATCAGTATTACAAGGAATGTTAGAGGAACTTCTTTAAGATGGAAAACAAACAAACAAACAAACAAACAAAAATGTCAAAATTATGAATAAAATGTCAATAGCTACATATCTGTCAATAATTACTACTTTCAATGTAAATGGATTAAATGCTCCAATCAAAAGACATAGGATGGCTGAATGGATAAGAAAAAAAAGACTCTTACATATGCTACAAGAGACTCACTTCAGATTAAAAGACACACACAGACGGAATGTAAAGGGATGGAAAAATTTATTTCATGAAAATGGAAATGAAAAAAACAAAAATGCTGGGGTAGCAATACTTATACCAGACAAAATAGACTTTAAAACAAAGACTACAACAAGAGATGAAGAAACAGGGAAACACAAAACTAAGCCTACTGTTTTTAGGCATCTGACTGGAGAACTTGGGGAAAATCTTACAGGGTAACACTGCATAGTAATCATAATGATAGCTAACAGACCAGGTACCACTGGGCACTTAGTGTACAATATCTTAGTTAAATAAGATACATGTACATATGCAATACGTATAATATACATACATATATGTCTTATAGATAACTCTGAGAAGTAGGGATTATTATCACCCCCATTTTACAGATGAGGAAACTGAATCCCAAAGAGTGAATAAAACCTTTTGATTACCCAACCCAATCTGCTTTTAATAACTTTTTATAGCTTAGTAATTCAACATCTAAAGAGCAGACTATAAAGTTGGAAGTAAGTTAGGTAATTACTCAGATCCAGAGATCCAACCCAGATAATTCTGGCCCTGAACTGGATTTTGGAGGGCCTGAGTTAATCATTCATCTGAGTAGGTTTTAATTCTACAACTTAAATCAGCAACAACCTCCACTCCAAATCATGCAGAGAGGTGACCACCACTTATGAAAATCTGTAAGGAGTCTAACTCTTGAGCTCAGCCGTGGAACTCAGCCTTTTTAACTCAAGTTCACGTGTGATGGGGTAACATAATCACATTGAGTCAAGATCAAATCTGACAACAGGGAAGTCATCTATTAAAGGAAATCATTTAAAGATCACAGCAGAATTGGCTTGTTAAGAGAGATCAAAAACTAACTGTGCTGCAAATATTGATGTTGATTAAGATTTTTATTATTATCACTTTCAATGGATGGCTTAGCAGACTATTGAATTGTCTGTTCTGAGGCCCCCCCCTCCCCAACTTGCCTCTAATGAGTTGACCTTATAAAATTAGTGAAATCAGACTACGCTATAAAAACTGGGGCTGAGCAGCCCTGCGAGAGCTTCTCAGCAAAACTAACAATCAACAAACGCTGTGTTATTATTCAGCAGGGACAGTGTCATGTGGCACAGCAGAAGGAATGAAGTCATCTTTGGCAAGAATGTAAGATTAGGTAGTTTTGGAGCAACAGGAGAGGAAAAAGCACTTACATTTTCAGTTTTGCAGTCATCGATGTGGGGGACACTCTGTCCCTGTGTTCTCTTTCACTTTCTAGTTGAGCTTTTCCTCCTGGCCCTCCAGACCTGGTCTCCAGGCTCTTAAATAAAAGGATACATTTCTTTCCTCCCTCTGCCCACTAACTACTGAGCATGTTTACTCTTCTCCTAATCAAACCGCATTAGCCTAGTTTAGCAATTAACCTTCTTCACTCTGGCCTGGGCCACCAGGAGAGAGAGGATCCTAGAGCAGAAAGCAAATGACAAATGACGCCTGTGGGAGAGCAGGTGGGCAGGGCCATGCTGGTGAGTGAGCAGGGCACTCTGTTGCCCAGGCCCCATCTGCGCGTCTTGCACAGTCCTATCTACTCCTTGTTCTCATGTCGGGTGCTCCCCACGGTGCACTGTACTTGTGAGCAGTTGGTGGGGTCATAACCGGACCAGCTAGAAGAGCTGTGAAGTTCTCAAAAAAAAAAAAACAGTATAAAAGGGACTCTGTAAAGCTAGTTTTTAATGCAGGCTTAAAGAAGAGTGGGATATTCTGAAAAGGGGATTCATAGACTAGAACATTTAGAATCCATGTAAATATGTAAGAAACTGTTGTAATGTTTGCCTCTGGAGAGAGGACATGGAATCTGGGCTGGGGTGGGACGAGGACTTACGTTTCATACTTAAATCCGCTTATATATTTTGGATTTTGGATCATGTTTTTTTTTTCTTTTTTAATTAGGTTTTAAATGACCTTAGGTGATCTGGTTGAAGCTGAAACATAAGGCATGATGGTTTTTAAAAAATGAAATTTTTGACACCTGTTTATCTGCCTCCCCTAGACTTCCCTGAAGTTCTCCCAGATGGAGGCCACCTATTCACCCCTTGCCCACGTTTGCCCACTGGATTGTCTCAAGAGTGGGGGGCATGTAAGGCCAGTGTTCTCGCTGCTTGGAAGCCATTGCTCATACAGCCTCAAATAAACACTACTCCTTCAATGCTCTTGCCTGCCAGGTACTCCATGCTAATAATATCTACATTTCTTGAGCTTTTCCTATAACATTCTACCTGCCCTAAATACCTAATCGAATTTATTCTCATTTATAGATGTGAAAGCCGAAACAAGAGAAGTTAAGTGACTACATGGTACTGTGGGCTAACACTGGGATTCAAATCCAATCTAAAGCCCACACTCCTAATTCCATCATAATACTCCCTTCCCTTCCTTCCTGTGTTGGGCACTTTGATTACCTCCTTTTGTCATCTCCAGGTTCATTGATGAGTTTTCCATGTGACATGGTACCTGTATCCTCGCCTTTCCTCACTTGCATCCTGGAACAAGTGAAGGAACCATGGAAGTACAGGTAGGGAAGTTTAGAGGGCCCTCTGGGTAGGGGATGGGAAGGCAGAATTAAAACAACCAAGAACAAATAACCATCAATCATATCCAAGTAGTGCCTGCTCCTCATTCTCTATCACCACATCTGTCCCCCCAAGACACACACACACACACACACACACACACACACACACACACACACACCCTGCTCATAAAAACAAACACACATACTATGGCTCTGACAACTGTGGATTCCACCATTGAGAATTTTGTTTCTTTTCTTCCTAGGATCTTATGTTTGGCTTTTTATTTAGTCTTTCATTAGGAGTATCACTAAAGGACTCACTGGAAAGGAAACTAGGAAGACCTACCTGTTGGGTGGCTTGAATGGACAGAAAAAACTGCTGCCTCGTGTGCACAGGCGCAATCCAGAATACAACAGGCACAGAACTGGGAAACAAAGGCCCACCAGCAACAGGCTGAAGCAGGAAAGAGGAGAGCAGGGATCCGGGATTTCAGGAGGAAAGGGACATTTTTATTCTTTCTGCAGAATTTACAAAGCAATCATAGAAACAAGAAAGTTAATCATCTCCCTTCCCTTGCCCCCTGGCTAACCAATGGCTTGAAAATAAATAACTGAATTACTGCCCTCTCAGCCACCCCACTAAGCCAGTGCAGTGAAAAAACAAGCTACAAGCAAAGCCTGTGTTCTGGAGGGAAACAGAGAATTCATCTTTGGTTTTCAAGCTCAGAAGTGGTTGTCATAGCCCTACTACGGGGAAAACACACACACACCCTAAATAGCAAAAGCATCTAGATAGGTATCTTCGCCTCTTTACGTTTCCTACAGCTTGCATCCCAGGCAGAAAAGATATGTTTCAAGTTCTGACAGGGGACTGGCTTGAAAGAGAAACTGAAGGATTTAAACAGCTTTCTGAATGAGGCCAAAACTCAAACTGTCAAGAAGATTCATATTATTCTTCTTTCTTATTTCTCCTCACACTTCATCTATTTTTCCTTTTGTTTTTCTCCCTTGGGGCACACCTGACCTTTTCCTTTTTTCTGCTCTCCCTCTCTCAGTCCCTCCTTCACAAAAACTAGAAGGCAGAGAAGCCAATAACATCACTTTAACTGTATCACAGCATTTGGGGAGTTGGGAAGAATAAATGCCACCCCTCATTAGAAGAATATCAGCCCAGAAAAAGAAATCCAAATAAAAGACCTAGGAGCCGAATACCAGGAGCTACCAGGAAACTGCTCATCACCAGTGAGATGAGAAGAGCTGCATCTTTGGGGCTGACTTGACTTAACCAGCTGGGTTGATGGTAACTTCCACTGAGGTTGGCACCGTAAGCACAGGGCCGAGCCTGTAGCCATTCTCAATAAACATTATTTCTCTTGGATATTTTGGCAGCATGCATAAGGAAGGTCTCTGCCATCATGCCACTGCTTGGCAATCAAGTGTGACGCTTGTGTCAGAGATAATGGTGGCAAAAATAACGGGGATAATTTTTAGAGATGTCATTTCTATGGGCTTGAGGGTCCACATGGAAACCTCAGGGGAACAGGAAAGAGCCCCGCATTCACAGTCAGGTAAAGCAAATTACACCTACCGTGCCAAACCTACGTCAGCAAGCGTGCAGTCCCTGCCCTGCAAGCCTCAAAGTCAGCTGGGGAGGTAACATATGAACATATATATAAAGATAAATGCAGCGATAAAGGTAAGAATACATATGGAAGAAGTTACTCTGCTTTAATGAGTAGAAACAACTTCCTAACAACCTAGAGCCTCTACGTTCTTCTGCCCTAACCAACTGCATTCCCTTCTCACCTCTCAGCTCCCACACCGACATACTCCTGCCAAGACAGCTGCAAAGATTCCTCACCTATGAAAAATCCTAGTCTCTTTCCATTTCCTAGTTATAAAATGAACTAACCCCACAGAGCAAGTTGGCAAGTACGGTCACTACCTTGAAGAGCTCCCAAAAGTGCTGCAGGCAAACCATCTCAGTGTTCAGGATGTACCAACACGCTGGGTTGACTAAGGTCTGATCCTTGGCTCAGGTCAGCATGAAGAGGGAGCCGCAGAGCTAACAAAGAAAACAGCCCATCCCAGCGGCCTTTCTTCCTTTTCTCCTGACCTGTACACGAGATGTGAAAACACTGCTCCTACTTAGATTAGAAGCTTCGAGGATAAAGGCAGCACCTGAGGCCAGAACCTGGCACATGGTGACAGCTTGATTAATGTTTGATGAACAAATGGTTAGGACACCTTTTTATTCCACTTTGAATCTTCCAATTAAATAGTCCTTCAATTAACACTTCTTGAAATGAATTCAAATGTCATTAACAGAGGTGAGGGTACCTTTCTGAAATATTGGCTTAGGAGACCCAAAATGTTTAACTAAAGCAATGAATGGCTCTCCACTTAGCCAGCATATAAACTTTGGCCAAAAACTAATTAATTTGGACCCAATCTAATTTGGAGCATAAGGCTTCCTTTCTTAAGGTTGGTGTCACTGAGCTGTGAGCCTCAGATAATAGTCTGGTATTTAGAAGTTGGAATCTCCATTTCAATTAAGATTGAGAGCAGCCAGTTGAATGCAACTAAGAATTTTCATTTGGACAAACTTCAAACATTGATATAAAAATT